CAGGCTTACCCCAGCTTGGTCCTGCGGTGTACACCCATCGCCTTCCACCTGGGGCCAGCCATTGGACAGGGTGTTATGAACTGAGCGGGCAGGGCACGTCTGCTCAGAAGACACTCCTGGCCTGAGAGGAGCTCAGATCTCTGACTCCTAGAGATCAGAGTATGTGATTTCAGGCAGGACTTGTGTCCTAAGTGGGGACCCTGCGTGGCAGGGTTCCATGGGGAACTGCGAGACCAGGGATCCATATTTGCAGCGCCCAGGGCACCAGCTGTCCCCTGGCTCACACCTCACCTGTCTCCTCCCACTCTTATGGGCCCTGGGGACACAGCCTCTGGGTGACCTCCACCCTCACGGCCACCTAGTTGTGAGCAGAGGATAGCCCCTTGGGTCCCAGTAAGGGCAGGAAAGGAGGTGCAAGTATAATCTGTCTCAAAAGGAAAAAGGTTGAAGGCATTGGGGTTTCCAGGGAGGGACCCCTCCCCTCACAGCCACATCTGCCCTCCTGAGAGGGGTTGTGTACAAAGAGCATGTAATTAATTTATTTATTTCTTTACACATAACTGAAGTGATGTTACAGTACATAAGTTATTTACAACTGTGCAGTAATGTGTTGCAAAATAAATTATCTAGAAGGCAGCAAAAGTACATTGTGAACGTGTATAAAACTGTACAGCGTTTACGGGTACACTTTTTATATGATTATTGGCTCTGTAGTGTTTCAAGTTATGTTCTCAGAAAGAGAAACAAAATGCCCAAGATTAAAGGAAAAAATATACAAACCACGTGGATTTGACTCCATTAAAAACACAACTGAGTGTCCTGCCTCCATGTCCCTGTGAGGCGGGCGGGCGGCGCAGCCAGGCCCTCGCCCAGCCCAGCGTCCTGGCCCCAGTTGGAGGCCCGAGCCATCGGCAGCTTCATGGTGACAGGACGGTAGCCGGTCCGGTGCTCTCCCTGCCCTCTGACCAGAGACCACTGTTGCTGAGGGGTAGACGCCTTAGTTTTATTCTCTTGAGTTGATCAAAAATGGAACCAGGAATTTAAAGACTGCTCTCCATCCTGCAGCTCCTGAGATGCCTGTGCAGCCACCGGAGAAGAGCCCGAGGCCACCGCGCCCGTGCCCGCGTCCTCCTGCGGGGGCCGGTAGGAAGGAGGTGCACCAGGGACCCAATGCGGTTTCTCCCTGGGTGTCCCCACTGGGGACGTGGTCTCCTCCCGCCGCCTGGACTCGGCAGCAGACGTCAGGGGGGCTCGCCTGTGTCCTGTGCAGCTGTCCCTGCGCGTCAGGCCGGCAGGAGCACAAAGTCGTCATTGACGTCGACCATGGGCACGTAGAAGGACGGCACCTCATTCACGCACAGGGACTTGTGCCCGGCGGGGTCCAGCTCCTGGACCTTCAGCTGCCACTCCATCCTCTGCACGGCATTGAGAGCCGCCGCCTCGTGCTGCTGCCGCATCAGGAGACACGTCTGCACGGGAAACGCAGCAGGTGAGGAGGGAGGAGAGACCCTGCCTCACCCACTCCCTCTGCCACAGTGCTTCTGCGAGGTCAGGGCAGGGGACCCTTTTGAGCTCTGGCCTTGGGACGGCCTCTTGCATCTGGGTCTTATCCTGCCCAGTGAGTGGCCTTGCTGAGCACACAGGCGTCTGTCCATCCCTGCTTCATGCCCCTACCCCTGGGGGTTTCGCCTCTAGTCAGAACTTGTAACAGTTTCGCTTTTCTGTTTTCATTTTACAATTACTTTATTTATGGCTGGTGAGATTGGCTTCATTTGCATTCTCAATATTAGAAATAGGTACCAAGACAAACAGACTATTAAAGTCTGTGCTGTGTATTTCATGTTAAGAATGCCGAATGTTGAAATGAGGACAGTACCTGGGTTACCCAGATGGGTTGTAACCCAAGGCAGCACATGTGGACTTGGAGGGTGGTGTGAGGGAGTGGGGGTGCGGGGCACATTTTGGGAACACATGGGAGATAGAAGCATGGCGGGTGGGAGCACAGACTTGGGTTAACAGACTTGACGATGTGACAGTGATTGTGCAGGAAGCTCATCTTATTTTCTTAGATGAGCACACAAGCATTTAGGGCAGGATATCACAATCTCTAAATTGCTTTAAAATAATTCAGTTTAAAAAACTTTCAAAACTAAGCCCTGTGTGTGCCAGCAGGCCAGGCATCCTCGGCACACACAGTCACTTATGATCCTCAGAGTCGCGCTACTCTTAATTTAAGGTACTACATAGTGTCTCGATCTCTGGGTGCTCCTGAGACGGAGCTACTCCTGAGCTTCTGAACTGCTGTACAGTCCGAGTTTTCAGACTGAAATGAAACTGTTAGGCTGAAACCCCATGACACCCAACAGGCAGGCCTGTTTACCCAGAAAACTGCCCTGAAGATGTGTCCGGGCGGGACCTGAGGAGGGCAGCCTGTCTCCTGGTGGGACCTCGTCTACACTGTAGTCCCAAACGAGCGGCCACATGCAAGGAGCCCGTTCCACGGAGGTGGGGCCATTTTGTGCCCCTGCACTCTCTATACCTCACCAGTTTCTGTTTCTGTCCATTACTTTTTAAGTTCTTGGCACATTAAGGAAATTTAGACTTCTGTGGACTTTTTAATATACCAAGTCTCATTTTACTTTGGTCAAAAACTATCTCCCTATAGCAAAGTTTTCCACGCAGCTCCCTTCAGGCAGGCTGGTGGTGGGAGGGCTGACCATGTGACCTCCACACTGTCACCCTGGAGTTTGTCAGAAACGTGGCCTCAGCCAAGCCTGAACGCCCTGTAAGCTGTTGCCTCTCTGCTCTGGGCCCCTGGCCACCCCCTTGAGTATGGTGCTGGGGGCAGGGGTCACCGAGGTAAGCTGGGGGTGAGGCTGGCAGCCCAGTGTGGAACCTGGGTCTCGCCTCCATCAACTCCACACTCGGCAGGCCCTGCCTCATGGGCGCTAACTCTGTAGCAGGCGCGTCACTGCCGGTGTGTGTTCACGCGCCTACAGAGGAGGACGTGCTTCTTACTTGCTAAGCTCTCTATCTCCCCCCCGTCCTCTGCCTGCTGCACTGGTCAGCACATCCAGGGCAGGGCTGCTGGTGGATGCTGTGACCTTTGAGGAGGGTCAAGGTGGGGTCCCACAGAGGTCTGACCGCCAGCTGGTGACAGGAGCTGCTCCCCGCACACCTGGACAGGAGGGAAGACACTCTAAGAGGCAACATGGGGGCGGGGAGGCCTCGCTCGCTTGCTGCCAGCTGGGCTCAGAGCCAGTGTGAAGCTGCCTCCTCCACACGCAGCCCCACAGCAGCCGCCCCCACCCGGAGAGCCCGGCCCACCGCTGCCACTCAGGGAGGAGGGCTCACCTTCATGCGGTCATACTTGTCGTCCACGTCCTGCAGCCAGGATATGAACTGGCGGGCGTTGAACCGGTCCCGCACTGACTTGTTCTCATCACCCTGCAGGGAGAGCCAAGTGCACGTGAGAGTTCGGAAGGGGGAGCTTCCTGGTGGTCAAGAGCCCCCCCACTTGGGGTGCAGGTTCTAGAACCCCCCCCCAGTGCCCCCATGTCAAGGGCCAACCAGCAGGACACACACACACACACACCCCCACCCTCCTAATGGGCCCAGGCAGCAACCCCTCCCCAACACTGTCCAGGGTGGAGCCGCCCTGTGCGTGACTCTGGACCCCCTCAGGGTGAGTGCACGATGGCATCTGTCCAGTTTCTTCTTTGTGAAAACTGCAAGTGGTTTTTTCTTTCAAAAGGACATTTGGGAGGCCTGCGGTGGCTGAGCCCCCTGCAGTGGACAGTGGTTCAGGACCAGGTGTCCCGTCCCCCCCCCCCCCCCCCCCCCCCCCCCCCCCCCCCCCCCCCGGCTCCTGCCGGCTGGGTGGGCGGGGCCACCCGCCTGAAGGGGCCCCAGCCCAAGACCTCCCGTCTCCTGGACCTTCAAGAGGAAACCCAGAAACGCCCTTTCAAGGTCAGCAGATCCTTTTTCCTTTTATATGCAAAAAGCAAAACTTCCACGTGTCACCACTAGCACATTACCTAAGGAAAGCTTTAAAGTTTTTGTATCCTTAAAGATTGTATGTAAGTGAATGGAAAATATTTAAGGCACTAATCAAAAGTTTTTAACCACTGTTATGTCACATGTGGCGGCCTCCATGTGATCTGCCAGTGGGTTGGGGATGGGAGCCTGTCAGGGAACTTGGTGCCGAGGCCTGAACAGGGACAGAGGCAGGCCTGGAAGGACACACGCTGGGCTGTTTTCAGAGTTGCAGTGGCTAATGAGAGGAGAATAGGTCGGTGCACACAAGTTGGCTTGCTATTTGCATGTTAGATCTCTGACATGTCCATGCATGGGGTGGGGGTCCTGAGGGGCACAGGTTCCACCTACTGGGACAGAGGTCAGACAGGAAAGGTTGTGACCTTGTGGGACAAGTCCACCCCTGGGGGTGGACAGAGGCGGGCTGGACCCTTGGAGTGGACACGCAGGGCCACCCTATAAAACCGACGAGGCAGACCGTGTGCTCCGACAGGTGGCGCCCTGGGCCCTGCCCCAGACCAGCCAGTCACTGGTAACAGGCCCCTGGGGCTGCCTACTGTTGGTGGCAGCACCATGTCCCCAGGGGGACAGTCTCTCTGGGTCCTCTGCTCAGGAAGCCCCAGGGCAGCAGCTCTGGCTGCTCGTGTTCGAAACGCATGTGAGCTTCAGAGGAAATGGTCGGCAGATGCCCAGCCCACGCCCCACCTGGCTCTCCAGCGGCATGTTGTACACTTCCGAGTCCAGCAGCATGGTGCAAGCGCTGAACGGCACCGCCTGGTTCGCGATGGTCCTCGCCGCCCGGCAGTGGACTCGCAGGATCTCCTGTTCGCAGGAGACGATCAGCTTTTCCTGAAGAAGAGGGGCCGGTAAGCTGAGAGGGTGGGAGCCGGGTGCCCCAGGCCCATGGCCACACACTCACCCGCTCGATGCTGTGCTGCAGGCGAAGCTTCCCCCGCACAGCCTCCTGCTGCTTGAACAGCTCCTTCAGGGGCTCTGCCAGTGAGGGTGGGGGCGCGATCTGTGGTCACAGGAGAGACGGGCTCACCAGGGGCCGGGAGCTGCCCCAGCCCCACTCACCCTGAGGACCATAGTCCCATGATACCAAGCCAGGAGGCCGCAGCAGCTGGACGCTTTGTCCCTGAGAGCAGGTGAGTGAGCCCCCCTCCCCCGAGGGAGTTGCAGGCACCTGTGAAGAGGGCAGGGGAGGAGGCAAGGGAAGCCAAGAACCAGGTGTCTGCACCACTACCGTGGTACAGTGAGGGGACAGAGGACTGGCAGGGTCCTCTGTTTACCACAGGCTTCACGCACCCCAAGTGATATGAGGCCCACTGGGATGCCGCTGCCCAGAGGCAACACAGACAGGACAGTGGGCCTGCCCATCTCCAGGGTGTAGGGCTCGCCCGGCTACCTTGGAAGAGACATCGCCAGGCCAGAGGAGCCCACGGATGCCAGGGGCGACCCCCCAGGGAGAAGCCAGTGCTTCTGAGTCACACAGGAAACGCGCAGCCATGACCACGGGCTGGAGGGGGCAGGAGGGAGGAACAGCCCCCAGCTGCAGACAGACTGCACCTGAGGCCCACACTGAGGTATGTGCTATCTTCCAATCTTTTGGTTTAAAATTGGCTCAAAACTTGAAAAGGGAAACCCAGCTGGGTCTCTTCAGCTGCCTACCTGCCCCCTCAGGGCCCAGGGCACCTGGCAGATGTCTCTGTCGGGGTCTCGGCCCTGAGAACCCCTCATCCTGCTCCTGAGGGTGGAAGCCCAGGCCCAGCTGCGGGGCAGTCTGCTGTGACCCTGAGCCCTGCGCCCCAGATAGGATTGAGCCTGGCACACAGGCAGGCTGCTGTGGGTGAACTCAGGTGGCAGGGGCACAGCACCCTCAGCTGTTGCCTGTTTTCTAGTTCTGAGTTTTCTGCAAACAGCAGAAAGTCTCTCTCCCTGAACAGAGATCCCAGGACAGGTTCCTGAACCTAGTGCCTCAGGCCCTGTCTGTCTGGGGATAGGCCGCACATGTGGGACATGGCCAGCCTTGAGCCTGATGGATAGAACAAGAGGAAAGCTGGGTTTTCCGCAGAGGTGGAGGTGGTGTCGAAAAGCGAGTCGATGTAGTGCACACGTGTGAACAGGTGGCGCCTGGGGAGCATCACGAAGCTCAAGCGGCCAGGCTCTGGCTATGGGTGAAGAGAGGTGGCCCAGCGGGGCTCTCCTGGCCATGAGCCTCGTGCCTGCTCCCGGGTAGGGGGTGGGGGGACAGCCGAACTTGGAGGACACGCTTCCCCAGAGGTCCTTGTGGCAGGACCTGCCCACGGCCCAGATGCAAGTATGGGAATGGGACAGGGGGTGTGCATGGCGGGGCTTGGATAGTCACAGCTGCACGAATGTGGGGTGAACCATGGCGCAAGGGAGCATGGGGCATGTGAGCAGACGGCCGATAGGCAGGGTGGTGGGGGCCTGTGTTGGCAGGCCTGCTGGGTGGGGGCCTGCTTCAAGGAGGCAGGAGCAGCGCCCTCGGGCCCCTGGGGCAGAGAGGTCTAGGGCCAGGTTCTGTAGAGGCCTTGTGCTGTGGGAAGGGCCGCAGAGGGGGCTGGGTGTGCCTGAGGCGAGTGGGCCGGGGTCCAAGCACAAGGTGACCTGGTGGCTGCGGGACAGGAGGCGACACTGGGCAGTGTCGTGGGCAGACGGTGAGTGGCAGAGGCCAGTGTGGAGGGGGCTGCTCCCCACCTCCCGGGTGGGCACTCACCACGGGGATGTGCAGCTTGCTGAGTGGCTTGCCGTCCAGGAGGTAGGAGCCGGTGTAGGTGACATACTCGGCGTAGCACTGCGGCGCCTGCGGGCTGATGTAGCACAGGATTTTGCGCTTCTCCTCAATCTTCTTCCGGATCTGCAGGTATTCAAAGTATGGGTTGGACCTGTCGCTGTGGTAAGGCTCGATGGCGTCCAGCTTGATGGCATCCACGATGGCGGCCAGCGTCTGCTGGATCACCTCACGTGTTTGCCGCGTGGACGTGTGCATCTGCTGGGCCAGCTGCTGGCTGGAGCGCTGGAAGCGGCGTTTGCGTGGGTGCTGAGCCTGGGGGTCGTCGTCCTCAGAGCCGCGACCCTTGGCCCTGGGAGTGGGCGTGGGCGCAGGCTCCTTTTCAGTGGGCGGTGAGCTCTGCTTGTGCTGGTTGGCCAGCATCTGGGCGCGGGTCCTGGTCATGCGCTGAGGGATCTCCTCCACTTTGGGTGCCTTCGGGGCCTCGGCCATCGGCTTAGGTTCTGGTTCGGTGGATTCAGGCTGGACGCTGTCAGGGGGCCCCTCGAGCCCGGCACTGTCCTGAGGGCCAGCCCCATCTGCCATGTGGGCCTGAGCCGAGCCATCCACCGGGGCGTCAGGGGCGCTGTGGGGCGAGGCCGAGGAGTCTTGGCCCTCAGCCTCCTCACCTCCACTCCCTGGCGGACGCTGCTCTGAGAGGGCTGGTGTGAGCCCTGAGCCAGGGTGGGAGTCCTCGGGCGCTCTTCCCTCTGGCCTGGACCCTGCCTCTGCCGTGGCCTCAGGCAGCACTGCTGGCTTTGGCTCCTCCAGGGGCTCCGGTGCGGCTTCGGTGGGGAGCCGGGTGGCCACCTGGTCAGGAGGTGACACCAGCTGTTGGTCAGCAGCTGCCCCAGCAGCCTCCCCGCCGCTTGGGAGCACAGGGGCCCCCAAGGGGGTGTTCTCTGGAGGAACGAGAGGAGACTCTTCCACAGGCTCTGCTTCCACGTCAGGAACATCCTTGGTCTGGAGAGGGAGCTCTGGCAGTGAAAAAGGCCCCAGGTCGAGGTCGTCCTCGGCAGCGGGGAAGGCACCGGGCCAGGGCACCGGCTCCACCTGGCCGAGCGCCGACAGGTTGTGACCACCCTCCAGGAAGTTATTCTCCAAGGGCCCCAGTGCCTCCACCTGAGCCACGGCTGTTACACACGCAGGCTCTGGGGGTGCATCAGGGGGCGCGTCCGGAAGGGGCTTGCAGTTACTGAAGAAGGACTCCAGCCGGGAGGGAGGGGCGAACGTGGCCGGCTCCTCGGAAGTGTTCACTGTGGCTGGGACTGCTCCCTCGGCCTCATCCTTAGCTTCCAGTCCCGGCTCAGGGACGGGCAGAGGGTATGAGACGGGGGATGCTGGGTAAGGGGGCTCAGGATGGAGCGACTCGGCCGGGCAGAAATGTTTCGGGGACTCTGGGAACCTCTGTGGGGACTTAAGTAGGAGGTCCGACCCCACAGGCCAACTGGCAGTGTCACCAGGAGCACCCCCAATAAGGCCAGGGGGCAGACCCTGCTCTGCGGCAGCAGGATGCGCCCATTCGACTGGCTCCTCTGTGATGACCGTGCTGAAAGGGCCCTCGTCCAGGGGCTCCAGGAAGCTGGGCTCTGGGGGGATGATGGCTGCAGTGGCCTGCTGGTCCTCCGTGGCATCCAGGGGAATGCCAAGGTCAGGGGGGAGGGCCCCCTCCATGGACGGGGCCAAAAGCTCATCTCTGTGTGAAGGGGGGGACTTGGCTTGTAAACTAACAAAAGCGCCCTCTGGGGAGGGGGTGAGGTTGACTGTGGCCGCAGGCGGGCAGTGCAAGGTGTCGACTTTGGGGGAGGGCATGCCATAGTCTGGGGAGTAATACCCTGGAGACAGGCAGGCGAACTTCTCCGCGGGTGCTGGGGGGCCAGGGGCCTTGTCCTCGGGGTGCTGCCCTGGCGAGCTGTAGCTGGGTGCAGCGGGGACGCTCTGCTGTCTGAACAGCTTGTCCCCGAGGCCAAACTCCTCCTCGGGGGTCCTCCTGACGTCCACGGAGACCGAGCGGTAAAGGTTCGTGCACAGTGGCCTCGTTGGTGTCTGGCCTGGGGTCTCTGAAATCCCACTTGTAGCCACGGAGAACCTGTCAAAGAAAGAGGGTGAGCAGGCGCTGGCGGAGGTGCTGGACATCGGCTGGGGGTCCGTGCAGTCGAACATGAGGTCGGGGTAGTCGTCAGCGCTGCAGGACGGGGTCCGGGGCGTGTGCATGGCCTCCTCGTAGCTGGGGCAGGACACTACTGAGGCAGGGGTGGGGACCCCAGTGGGCCGGCCATGGTCAGGCCTGGGGGACGCAGGCAAGACCTCTTTCATGTGGGGTCCCGCCAGCCAGTCCCGGGGGTCCACTGCTAGTCCTGGGTGGGGCTTGTTCTCGGTGGCAGAGGCAGGAGCGGACTCCTTAGGTTTTCTGTCCTTCGGGGCAAGGTCGGGACCAGGCGGCTTCTTGGGCGGGCCGTCCAGACTCTTCTTGCGTGCGTCCTCGGCGGGCCGCGCCTTCTCCTTGAGCTTGGGGTCCCCGGAGCGGTGCCTCAGCTTCTCCATCTGCCTCATCCTCTCCTTGTGCCGCTTGTGCCGCTCCTCAATCTCCAGGTCCTTCTGGGACAGCATCCGCTCGAAGCTGGTCATCATCAGGTCCCCGTCGCCCAGGAGCTTCTCCCGGGGTCTCACGTCTTTCTTGCCAGGGTCTCTGGTCGAGAGCAGCTTGTCATTTCCATTGCTGAGCTTCGTGGGGTCAGCCTTCTCCTTCTCAGGATTCTCCTTGATCTTCTCCTTCAGCCTGGCCTCGCCAAGCTTCCCGCCCTCGTCCTTGGCCTTGTCTCGGAAGGCACCGGGGGCGGTGTCCCTGGTCAGGGGCTTGGGCTCCTCACGATGGTGCCGCTCCCGGTGCCGCTCCTTGTCCTCCCGCCACCGCTCGCGGTGCTTCTCCCGCCGCCGCTTCTCCTTCAGGAGGCTGAGGGCGCTGGAGCCATAAGGCCGCAGCTCCTTCTCCACCTTCTTAGGGGGTTCTCGTTCAGGATCGTTTTTCTCCTTCTTTTCAGTAGAAAACAACTCAAGGGCTTTATCCAGCTCATCCTCTGCGTCAGCCTTGGAGCCGTAGGAGGCACCATAAGCATCGCTGTCCAGGAGCTCCTTCTCATACTGGCTGGCGTCCTTCCGGCTGCTTGCATCCTTGTAGTCATCACTCTTGTCCTTCTTCTCGAGCTTGTCCTTCTTGCCCCGCTCTCGATCGTGGCTCTTCTTGGAGGATGATGAGGCGTGCCGGTGCCGCTCCCTCTCCCGCACCCGCTCCTCTGGGGGCTCCGGGAAGGACACGTCCAGGAGGGCACTGAGGCTGGGGTCCTGGCCGCGGTCGGGGAAGCCGTCGGAGGACGCCTCACTGGCCTTGTCATTGGAGTCCTCCCGGAAGTCCTGCAGGGCCTCCTCCTCCAGCCGCTCCAGCAGGCTCTTTTCCGCCTCGGCGCCCTTGCTGGCCTTCCTCTCTCGGCCCTGCTCGCGGTCCGGCCTCTCCCGGTGCCTGGTCTTGGTCTTGTCCTCCACAGGGGGCCTTTTCTCCCCCTTCTCGGGTGGCTTCTGCTTGCTCCTCTTGTCCTGCACGGAGTCCACAGACGTGCGGTCCTTCCTGTCCTTCTTCTCCTTGTGCTTCTCAAAGGTCTTCTCCCTCCTGTCCTTCCCCCCGTCTGTGGCCCCCTTCTCCTTCTTCTTCTCCCTCATCTCTTTGTCCTTCTGCTTCTCAGCATGGGGTTGCCTGTCAGCTGAGTGCTTCCGGTGCCGGTCAGGGGGGTGCACCTCCCGCCCGTCCTCCCTCTCGGGGGGGCCGTCCCCTCGCCCCTCACTCGCCTCCCCGATTTTGAATCCGCTCGCTGTGTAGTCGTCTTTTTCATCTTCACTTTCATCTGTGAAGATATCTGCAATATACCAGCTTTTTTCTTTGCCCTTTTTCTCGTCTTTTTTTTCAGAGAAGTCCTCAGAGAGTATTCCAGGGAAGGCCTTCTCCCGTTTTTCTCTGCCTTGGTCAAGGGATGCCTTCCTCTCCTTGTCTTTGCTGTGCACGTCTTTATGCTTTTCCTTGGCATCCTTTTTCTCTTTAAAACACTTATCAAACTCTCTGTCCCTCTGACATTTCTCAAGAATGAGTTTTTCACTTTTGTCCTTGTCGCTGGACTTCTCCTTGTGCTTCTCCAGCTTCAGCTTCTCCTTCTCCTTCTTCTCCCTCCCCGGGTGGTGCCTCTCCCAGGGCTCCAGGCTCTTCCCAAAGTCACAGCCGTACTCCTTCAGGTCCTCCCTGTGCGCCTCCTCGGGCTTCACGCGGCCATCTCTCCGCTCCTTAGCAGCCTCGGGGGGCTCCTTCCGGTCCCGGCTGCCCTCAGTGGACTCGCGCCGCCGTTTGTCCTTCTCACAGAGAAAGCTGGGGACAGCCCTGTGCCTGTCGGCCATGTGCTCTCGTCGCCGCTCCAAGCCGTCCCTGTCCTTCTTCCGAGAGAAGACGTCTCTGTCACCGCGCTTCTCCCGGGCCTTGCTCTCCCGCCTCTTCTCCTTGCTGTCCTCCTTTACCGTCTCCAGGATCAGCCTGGCCACAGAGTCGCTCTTCATGTCCCTGTAGTCTGTCACTGGGGAGTCCCAGCTGTCTTCCCCTTTGAAATCGAAGGAGGAATCTGACAGGTCCGAGAACCAGCGATCCTGCTGGTCATCAGAGAGACTGAACTTGGTGTCTTCGTTTTCCAGAAACTGACTTTTGTTACAGTACTCGTCAAAAGCAGAGTCCTCCCGATACCCTTTTTCTTTTCTGAGTTTTTCTTTATCCTCCTTGAAGATCTTCTCCTTCTCTTTGGGAATTTTTTCCTCCTTAAAGTCATTCTTTTTCTCTAACTTTGAGGGCCTGTCTTTGGACTTCTTCTTTCTTTCCTCTTTGTAGAGTCGCAGCTTCTCCTCTTTAGGAGACTTTTCCTTCAGCAGCCTCTCCTTCTCGGCCTTGTTTGAACGGTCCTTCTCCTCCCGGAAGGCCCTGCTCCCGTCCTTGTTCAGGTCCCTGATTCTCTTCAGCGACTTCTCCTCTCTGGAGACCTTGATCATCTCGTCCTTAAAGAGCCAGTCTTTCTCTTCTGACTTCATCTTGCTGAGCTTCTCCTCTTTCTTGCAGTGGTCTCTCTCATGCTTCAGGCCCTTCAGCTTGTTCTCAGCGGGCACGTCATCCAGGAGGATGGCCTTGTCTGCCCTCTGCTTCGAGTCCTCGTACTCGTAGGTAAAGCTCTTTAGCTTCAGTTCCTGGCTGACAGAGCACAACCCCTTCTCCTTGCTTTTGTGTTTATGTTTAGTCTTGTGTTTCTTGACAACTTTGCCCTCCTTGTCCAGCTTGGGGATGGCACCATCCCCGCTAGGGTGGAAGGAGTTCTTCCTGTCAGGTAGTGTGCCCTGCAGGCCGGCCCTCTTTTTGTGCTCCTGCCTCTTCCTGACTGGCTTCAGTGACTCCACACTGGAGCCTTCGGAGGAGCCATCAGACTCACTGCTCAGTCTTGTCCTGGTGGAGTCTGATAAGGAGCTGACCTCGGACCAGGCAGGAGAGGAAATGGTTTTCCAATTGTCTGTCCGCCAGTGCTTGGCGTGTGGGTCCGCGTGGCTGGTGTTATGCTTCTGGGCAGTGGAGCTGCCGTGGGATGAGGTGGAGGAGGCAGACAAGGAGCTGAACAGAGTGGGGTCCTTCAGTACCAGCGGGGACTCCTTGAGGCAGCCCGGACTCCCCGCCGAGTCCCCACCATCCTCGCCGCTCTCCGAGGACTCGCTGTCAGACTCGGACGAGCAGAACGTGTCACCCCTCTTCCCAAACCGTACTTCTTTGCCCTTTATTTCTTTCTTTCGCTTCTTTTTCACTTTATTTCTTTCCTTCTGCTGCTTGCAGTTAGAAGGCTCCCGGGTCTTGTTGCCGGGCAGCATGGTGTGGGCTGAGAGTCTCAGCTTCTCCCCCGCCCCCACGGTGACACCGACGTCCTCCTCGTCGGACGTGTCCGACAGGATGCGATGAGACGCCTTCTTTGGTGCAATCGTGCTGTTTTTAGTGTAGCTTTTCACTTCCATTTTGGGTATAGAAATAAAACTATTTGACTTGGCCTCTCTTCTGTAGTCCTTTTTCAATAAGTGTTTGTCGTCCACTGGGGGGGTTCTGTCCTGCTCGTCGTCCTCGTCAAACTCATACTCGTCCTTGACCGGCGTCACGGTTTTCTGCGGCTCCGGATTCTTGGCCTTGTGCTTTAGGCCCTTCTCAAACTCAGAGTCTGTGTTATTGCCATCGACCGAGCTGGAAGGTGCGAATGATGGGGCGTCCTCCTCCTCCTCCTCGGAGCTCTCTGCAGGAACAGGGAGAAAGGCATCAGGAGCTGTCCAGGCAGGGGCAGTGGTAGACAAGCCCAGAACTTCAGTAACTTGACTGAGGCTGGCCCTGGGCCGAGTGGCCAGAGAGGGGTCTGCACAGACAAGGGGCTGGAGGTCTTGCACAAGAGCCCCTATCCAGGGTGGGGTGCCCTCACAGTCCGGAAGCTCCCATCAGTGCCAGGCATCCAAGCAGGCTGCCTGCAGTGGAACCACCTGTCCTGCCCGCCCCGCTTTCCCTGCTCCCCCCCCACAGCACTGACCAGCTGAGCTCTCCTCACTAGACGTGTAGGTGCCCTTGCCCAGAAGCAGGTTCACCATGGTCGGGGAGCTGGCCACCTTCAGTGGTGTCTCGCCCTTCCTGTTGCTCTGCTGAGGGTTCCCTCCATACCGGAGCAGCAGCTTCACCACCTGTGTAGCAGCGAGAGGCACATCAGGGACGTGAGGAACGTGGAGCGGCCACCACACCAGTGCCTGGTCATAGGGTCTGAGCATGACCAGACTGAGGGCTACAGGCTGTGTGTGTTACCCACCGGGCCTCTCCCCACCACAGACCCATCACACAGGCTCCTGGTATTTGGATGAAACTTGTGTACTGGGTAAGGGCGGGGGGCTGTTACAGAGTAGGGAAAACAAAGACCAAGCCTCCACAAGCAGGTCTATTTCATGTTTTTTATTTTAAAAGTAAGATCACCTGTTTCTGGTCTGTGCCCAGGACCACTGAACCCAAGGACTGGCAGACCTTGATTTGTTGTACTTTATAGAGATGAAGGTCTGTGATAACCCTCCCTGTACCCAGCAAGTCTATCAGCACCATTTCCCTGAGGGCATTTGCTTCCTTGGTGTCTCTGTTACATTTTGGTGATTGTCAGGATATTTCAAACCCTCTACCAGCAAAAAGATGACTGGCTGCAGATGATAGTTACATTTTTAGTAATAATGTATTTCTCTCCTTTCTTTAAGGCCCTGCCATGGCTCATTTGGGATCTTAGTTCCCTGACTAGGGGTGGAACTCGTGCCTCCTGCAGAGGAAGTGTGGAGTCCTAAGCACTAGACCTCCAGGCAAGTCTTGGAATAACGTATTTTTTAACTGGGGTGTAGTTAATGTTTTACACTCTTTTTATTGATGTGGACCTTTTTTAAAGTCTTTGTTGAATTTGTTAAGATTTGCTTCTGTGTGTGTTTTTCTAGGCTGTGAGGCATGTGGAATCTTCACTCCCTGACCAGGGGCTGAAGTGGTGTCCCCTGCACTGGAAAGCAAAATCTTAACAGACCACCAAGCAAGTCCCCTATTTGATATGTCTGTCTTGACGAACAAGTGCAGGTTGTTCACAGACACTACTACTGCACACCCAACAGCGACCAGACAGTGTTCAGGTGCATCAGGAAACCACTGCTCTGTTGCAGTCCTCACTCACTCCGGTGGCCTCCCCGAGATGGCTGGCAGACAGGACACAGAGAGCAGTAGCTGCGTTTCCACTGCAGGGGCTCCCCTGCCCTCTGATGAATCACCACCGTGGACAACCCTGGGGCCAGAGGCTGGGCTCCAGGGCTGTGTCCTTGCTGTCTGCCAGCCGAGGGAAGGCCAGCCACCCCAGCCGCTGGAGGCCACCATGTTCCCAGTGCTATAGTCCCTCCCTGTAAGACTGGAAGTGCAGGCCAGTCCCCTTTACATGGAGAAAGGGTCTCTGCTGTAGGCACCCTTGTCCACCTGGTACCGTCCAGGGTCACTTCCCATCTCCTGGTCTTCCAGCTCCCCTCTGCAGAGGCCCCCTGTCCTGAGGCCCTGTTGCACGTATACCTGCCCACTGCCCCGGGGATATTTTTAGCAAATCCTTTGATATTTCATGAATTTCTCAGTCTATTTCTCTAAAAGGGCTCTTAAGAAAGAAAAACAAAACCCCTCTCATCTTCCCTAAAAAGTTACCTAATTCCTGACCTCAGCACTTCGGTGTCCACAGGAGCTTTGGCATCTCGAGCCCAGAACCCTTCCCAACCTCTCCTGGCACCCACGTGTTATTGTCCCGTTATGTCCTTCCCCCCAGCCGAGCCACCACAAAAGACCAGATGTCACATGTCATTACACTTGCCTCCCGTCTCTAGACAGGGGCCCTTTCAGGACATTGTGGTGTGGACGTGGCCAGACCCTCACCTACACATGTGTCTCCAGTGTTGGACCTGAGGGCTGGTGCCCCAGGTGCTCACAGCTCCTGGGCTGGTCACACGGGTCACCCTGTGTGACTGCACCCGTCCAACGTGCCTGGTCTGACAGCACAGGTATGAGGACAGACAGAGCTCCTGTTCTGGGGCTGGCCACTCAACCTTCTAACATCCAACCATACCTGCATGGCCACAGCAGATGGGTAGAAAGCCGGGCTGAGCAGGGGTGGGGGGTGGTCAAAGACTCACTTCCTAGTTGCCCTGCCACCAGGAAAGAGAGAAATCAAGAAGCTGCAGCAGGCCCACCCGGGGGTCTGTGGGGAGGCACCTACCTTGTAGTGCCCATTGTTGGCGGCGTCGTGCAAGGGTGTATCATCATCCAGGCCCTTGGTGTTCACCTCCGCGCCCGCGGCCAGCAGCTGCTTCGCGACATCATAGTAGCCCCGGTTACAGGCCTCATGCAATGCCGTCCAGCCTGGAAACAGACACTCAGCACGTATGTGACTTAACCTTCAAGGTCACTTCCACCTTGGGCAGCACAGGAAACTCTAAGGACAGGCGCCCAGCCTGGGTGTTCTTTCCTGGGGCACCTCTGGGTTGCCCATGACCACTAGCGGTTAACCCTACAGACTAGGAAGCTGTGAAGGGTCCAGACAGATGAGCAGTATCATCACACAGGAAAGCAGAGCAGACCATGGGTTTGGACAGGCCTCCGTGCAGCAAGCGCCGAGGCCTCCCAGGGAGTGACCACCCCAGGGACTGGTCCCAGGGTTTTGGAAAAATTCAAGGTAGCACCTCTTAAAATATCAGTATTCCTAAGTTAGGTTTGAATCAGACACATGGGGGTCCCGCTCGGCAGGGGTCCTGGAGTCCCAGGCCTCCTGAGAAGGCAGCTCTGGGCGCACAGGCAAGAGAAGAGGGTGCCGTGTCAGAGAGTCTGCCCTGGTCCTACCCTCCGAGCGCTCACCCGCAAAGTCCTTGACATTGACGTCCGCTCCCTCGCTGATGAGCTCCTTGATGCGCCGGGCATCCCCCCGGATGGCCGCCCGGTGCAGGCGGGTCTCCCCACGCTCATTCCTCTTGTTCACTTTGTCTTTGGTTTTCGAGGCAGAGTTGGGCGTCCCCTTCTGACACACTGTCGACTGGGAGGGGTGCTTTGGTGTCATGTCCACTGCAGGCCCAGGAGAGGATGGCGGAGGTTAGCAGTGGAGCCTGTGGGGCTGGGCCCCCCCAGCCCTGGGCCCCCCGGGCTCACCTGGGCTGTTAGCGGATTCCTCAGCTGTCATCTGCATAAGCAGAGCCACCTGCTGGCGCTCGGAGAGAGGGTAGCCAGCGCGGATCCCAGACAGCCCCATGCCGAAGAGCAGCCCGGCCTTGCGGGTGACGGGCTCCTTCCTGATCCGCTTCCGCTCAGGACCCTGCTTCTCTGTGAGGCGTGAGGGAGAGAGGGGACACTTCATGCCACGGAGCCCTCGACCCCAGAGCCTCACCTGGCCGCGCGGGAAGGGAAGGGACAGCTGGCGGCACGCAGGCCGCCCGGCATCACCTCTTCCGGCAGTAACCGTGCTGGGGACACGATTCCAACACCTCGTCACCAGCCACTGAAGCCAAGCCTGGCCCCCACCGACCATCCACTGCTCCAGGTGCCTCCCCAGACCGTTCCCTGCACGCCAGGCGGCGGGACGGCCAACCCGAGTGCCCGCTCACACAGGACAGGCCTCGGTCTAGCAACTGCTCGCGCCTGTGGTCCAGGGCCTCCGCCCCACCCGCCTCCGAGACAGTTCAGATGTAAAATGCAAACACAGTTTAGAGACCCATGGAGAGGTCAAGGCTGACTGGGCGGTACTGTACCTTTCTTCTTGCTTCTAGGAGCCTCCATCTCATGCCATGGCGCTTCGAGGAGCGAACCAGCCTTGCAGTACCACGGCGTGGACTGAGCTGGAGGCATCTAAAGGCATCAACACAGAGCACTAACAAGATACGGGGCCAGCCCGGCGCCCCCTCAGCCTCCTCATGACAAGCACGCTGCGCTCCTCGGGCCCCTCACACACACCCTGTTGGCCTCAGACAGCCACAGTGCCCGTGTCTCTCACGGGGCAGGGGTGATGGAGAGAAAAACACTCTGACTCCTGGGATCAGGAGCCCAAAAAAAGCTCATGGGAACCGGGGATCCACCAAGTCTCAGATCCCTCCCCTGCAGCCCTGTGTGTTCTGGGAGAGCCCCAGTGTGGGGTGTCCTAGGTCATGGGGTGCAGACCACAAGGTCGCCACAGGGGCCACGCTCGAGAGGTTCTCCCTGCACCCCTGGGCTGGGTCAGACCCCAGAGAGAGGCAATGTCTCCACTCCCAGAACCACATACCTGGACCGCTCACCACCACAGGCCCCTCAAGCATATCACTTTCCATTTTCTTAAGAGTTTTCACTGCTATTTCCTTAAACTGCTTGTTTATAAAAACTACAGCTGTGACTTGCTGACAGTGCTAATCTGTGTCTTATGTGATCACCCCCCAAGCCACCCCACCAACTACTGATTTTTAACCTACCCCCAAGGCACAGTTCCAAGAAAGGAAATTCAGAAAAGATGCTCCTTATCGTTGACCAAGAGCCCTGCTCCCCCATAACCTGTGAAGGCAGTAAGGAGGTGGTGGCACAGGGGCCCTTACACCAGACATGGCTGGCAGAGCAGGAACCTGGTGGCTCCAAGGAGTCCTGAGAAATGAAGCCATGATAGGATGGCAATCAAGCCGCAGGGCCCAGCCCAGAAGCTACACCACAGCTGAGCGGTCACGCGGATCTGTCTGGGCACAGCCTCGCACTGTGGAAGGGCCTCAGTCGGGGGTGTGTGGCCTCCCAAGGGCTCCTGCCCAGGGACAATGCAGACATGAAATCCCCCAGAGACAAGGACAGAAGCACAGCCTCCCACCAGGCTGCCCTGCCAAGTCCACGAGGTCACCCTGGGGTAGAAGCAAGCAGACCAGCACCACTCCTCTTCTGCCTCACAGAGGTCTTCGGGACAGACACGCCATGCCCATGATTCTAAGACAGCAGAGGAACCAGCAGAGGGGCCACAGCCAACTCCCCTCCAGTGGCTGTGCAGGCAGTGACACCCAGGGCCAGGGCGCGCCTCGAGGGCTCCACCTGCTGCCCAGAGACTGACCCCAGCTGCAGGGCAGGGCCCCGGGGACCCAGGCCTGCAGTCTCAGGAAGAACGAAGGCCACCCATGGGTAGACTGAGCACATGGCAGGCAGGACCGCCACCCTCGGGGATGGGAGAGCTGAGGCACCCCCAGCAGGAGTCCTCACCCCACAGGTGGAGGTTTCCCAAGGCTTATCACAAAGGAACCCCTAAATGTAATCCCATCTCCTGAGATGCCAGCTTCTCCACACTGAAGTGCAGTTTTTTTTCTACAGGTGCGGCGGCTGCCAGTATCTAGAGGAGCCCACGTCTGGCTGGGCTGTGAGTCCCGGATGGAGCAGGCGCCCATGGAAGCTTGGCCACAGAGGAGTGGAGGCTGGGGTGCTGGTGCTGTAGGAGGGCCTGCCTGCCTGCCTGGCTGCTTTGTCCTGTCAGTAAGCATCCTCCCCAGCAAGACCTGTAAAGCCGCCTTCGTGCCCTGTGCAACGACCCCGAGGACACGGCAGAGGAAGTGTCCCAGGCAATGGGCCACTCCTCGTGTTCGGCTAAGGTTCTGTTTCCTACATCCACCCAGAAGCAAAGCAGAACCTACAGGAAGCCCAGACAGCAGGTGCCAAGTTAAGAGACGTGGATACTGACAGGTGCGTGGGAGCAGCAAGGGCAGGCCAGGGGTGATGTGTGGGGGCTGGAGGCACCATGCCCTTCTCTGGAGACCTGCACCTTCCCAGGCTGATGGGGGAGTGGTCTCCTGAGCTGAATGTCCCCTCACCGCTAGGAAAGTGTGACTATGTGACTCAGCACCCTGATTCTCAAGCTTGGTCACCTTGCTGGTCCTCTGTGAAGTCAGCGCACATTTATCATCTCTTCCCGGGACGTGATCACCCAGCCGCAGCTGCAAGGATTCCAGCAGCCCTCAGGCCTTCGCTGGTGTCCCCCCAAGAGGCCACTGGAAGACGGCTCTGCTCCCCCCACAACTGCCCAGCTGGGGCTGTGAAGAGAGCAGCCCTGAGCACCTCTGTTTCAGAACCTGGTATGCAGAATAGTGCCCCCGACCCCAGCAGAACTGACAGCATCCAGCAGAGAAGAACCCCCGAGTCAGTGAATCCTGGCAGCAAGGACGCAGAGTGAGTTTCAGGTGAAACCAGGGCCACCTCTGGCTTTCGGGCAAGCTCTGCAGATGCCTCCCCCTCCACATCCCCCGGTCTACCTGACCCTCTGAGTGGGGCCCGCTCTCACACCAACACAGCCACTGGGCGACCATGTGCTCTTTCCAGAGCCAGGCTGGATGCCACAGCGCCTTTCTGTGCCTCACTGAGGGCGCCATGGCCAGTGAGCACCAGCACTGTGAGGGTTCACACCCTGCTGCCTGTGCTGTTTCCCAGTGCGGGAGCCCCGTCCTCTCCGGAAGGCCATCTGGTCTCCTCAAGCCAGCTTCCCCGTGCAGCCCATCCCGCTGCTGCCACCTGGGGGTCTGTCCTCGCTTCCACCTATCCAGACAGAGTGGACAACAGCTGTTTCCAGCAGAAGCCATCCTGCAGGGGCAGGATGGCATGAGCCTGGGAGACCTCACGGCACCTGGGCAAAGGACAGCTTCCTCTGGCCCAAGGTATCACACAGCAGGCAGGCTGCCCTTGGCCTGTCACTGCCACCAGAAGCCTGTGTCTGGGGCACAGGGTGAGTACCAAGCTTCCCAGCAGAGGGGTCTCTCTGGAGACTGGTTTGGCACAACAGTGGGGAATCGATGACCTCCTCAGATGTCACCACCACCTACACTCCGCCCTGAAGGGTGGGCAGGCATCCACAATCCCCATGAAGTCGCAGGACTCGGTTGCAGCAGGCAGAAGGTGGGGTCAGTGCCAGGACCTGGCATCCTGACAGTGTCCTATCTCTTAGTCTCAGGAGCACAGAGTCCACCACACAGGACAGAGTCACAAGACAGGCTTCTGACCAAGAAGCCAGCCTAGGCACAGTCCATACATGACAGATGCTGTCAGGTGATGGCTACGTGGGGTCCTACCCATGTTACACTCTGACCCTCTGAATGCCCCTAGACCAGCACAGGGCCTGTCACTCAGGCTGTAGTGATGACCTACTGTCTCCTTTTCTGTTTAAAAAAAAATTAACGATCACTGATCAGCAAAAAAGAGATCTATGTGGCCTTTAGTAAGTCCCTGACCTGATGGGGGTCGGGGTGGAAGGAGGGCAGTCTTTCTCTCCCCTTCCTCACTAAGGCTTCTTCAGTTCCTGGCGAGGGTGACAGAGCGTATTACACAGGACCAGATCAGGAGGCCAGAATCTATGAAGTAAGGTCAGCATGAAGGGACTGGACAACAGGGCTTTCCAACCACGGACCCCAGCTTTCACTTCAGCAACCCCTGCAAACTGAAATCAGATCTCCAGCAACACACAGATAGGTCATCCACTCTGCTGGTCCAGCCCATCTGGAGGCCTCAAAGCACCCCTCAGGCCCCCATCCCCGAACCCTGGCGACCAGTGGGCAGAGCAGCCACCTGACCCAGACCAGAGACAAGTGGGCCCAGCCACACCCACCAGACTCAGCCCAAGGTGGAGCTGGCCAGCACCCCACACCAGTCCTGCTCTCACTGGGGTACTGAGGACTCCAGAGTCATGGCATGGGTGGCTCACAGAGTGCTACTCTGCTTTAGTCCATGCCCAGCAGGTGGCCAAGCACCTGTGTGGTCACAAAGGTGGCCTCCAGCACTCAGCAGGGTGTGTTCTCAGAACTCCAGGATCTGGAGCTGGCTCTGCCCCTCAGGGAAGCACATGCAGCCACCTCTGTCCCCAGGTGGGGGCAGTGAGACTGTCGTAAGACTAAGCAGGAAGCCTGGTGTGTGGTGGTCAGGTAGGTGTGTGCAAAGTTAAGCTCTGGGGAAAATAAAAAGAGCAATCTGAAGCAGGTCCCAGTCCCACCAAGACTGGCACTGGGCAACGGCAGTGGGCAGGAGGATGCCCCTTCCGGACTGTCTTGGGTGCATATTCTCAGCAGGCTGGCCCCGGGGGCGGGGGGCTCTGGGGCACAGCTGAGGAGCCACCACTGGTGGCTCAGAACCAGGCTGCATCTCCCAGCAGGGGGCGCCAGAGGGACGCAGGCACGCACCAGGGAGCCCTAGCAGTGGGGGGCGGGGGGAATGACTGCAACCTCTGGCCCCTTGGGGAGGACTTCAACCCACCTGCCCAGATGACTGCTCACCAGGAAAGGCAGGCAGGGTCAGTGACCCGGGCTGCAGGCAAGGTGCCCAGTACTGGCCCGAAGGACATGACGCTCCCCATTACTGGAGTCTGGTTTGCCCCATGAGTAAACCAAACGGCTAAGAGAGCTGTACGGTAGGCCCCTGGGGGGTCACAGTCACGCGGGGTGGGGGAGGCCTCTGCTCCAGCAGGCAGCTCATACCCTGCTGGTGAAGGGTCACTGGTCCAGCAGGACCCGTCCCCGAAGGGGCGATGAGGACCAGGAGGAGGGCGAGTGCTGTGCTCTGCGTTGAGCCTCTGCACACAGTCACCCCCCAGGCCTCATGCGGAGGTGATCCCAGCCCCCGGCCGCCCCCTCCTGGGGCAGCAGTCTTCCTGCAAGTGACAGGAAAGCCCTGCAGGAGGACATTGACCTGCAGATGCCCAGCATCCAAGAAGCCTGAAACCAAACAACACTGCACCCTGCACAAACCAGAACTGGCCAAGGCGCTCAAGCCTAAGCACGTGTCTGGGCTGGCCTGTGTCCTCTGCACCAGACCTGATACAGAGGGTCCCTGGGAGGATGCCCACGACTCTCCTTGTGAAGGACCCCATGGAGGCGCTGGACCACCTTCCCGGTAACCCAGTCGTAACCCAGCTGGCACCACCAACCCCACCACCCTGCAGCAGTGGCCTATAGCCCATGAGCCTGTGTGCCTACTCAGGGCTGGGAGCCCAGGAATCACATGGGGGGGGGGGGGGGGGGGGGGGGGGGGGGGGGGGGGGGGGGGGGGGGGGGGGCGCACGCGCGCCTGTGCAGGGGCTTAAGGAGGAAAGAGACCCCTTCCAGGCTTCTCCCTCTGCCACTTCTCCCAACTTTCTCACGTCTGTCTCATTTCTGTGCCTGTGCTTGTCCTGTGAACTGACGCAAACCCTCACACAGCAGGGCCTGCACCCCACCTCATCCTGACAGGACCTCTGCTCCTTCCCCCATGGCTGCATCCTAAGGGAAGCAGGACCCCTTTGCAGCGCCATGGACTCGCCCATGCCTGCCCCTGGCTTGGGGTCTGCCATCAGATGAACGGCAGGCTGGGAAGGCTCTGGCCCCTGGGCCAAGAGGAGGGGAGTGAGCTGGCCAGCAGGGGGGCCAGGTTCTTGCCTGGACCAGCACGTCCCTCTGAGCAGCTCAAGATGGAACGGACCTAGGAGCACGGGCACCACGCGGCGGCGGTCTCCAGTCCTCCTGCACACACTCCCACCACACGTGAGGGAAGATGGCACTTGCTTCTGCCCATTTCACAGTACCCTTTGGCAACTGGGTTAACTTGTGTACATCTGGCAGCCCTGGGGGGAGCCCATTTATCCTCCCATGTAAAGCTCTCCAGAGGCTGAACAGAGTGCAGGTGCCTGGGAGTCAGAGGAAGAGGGGCCGGTGGTCACACACACACAGTGGACAACATGGGAGGCCCCTGGGCCGGGGCGATTCTCTGCAGGAAACCTTCCCTATTGGCTCCCAGCCACCCCACCATCAGTGAAGAGCCTCACCCAGCACCCCTCCCAGGCCTTCAAGAAGGACCCCCTGGAGTCAGCGCAGAGCCCAGGCTGCGAGGGTGGGCAAGAGTGGTACCTGTGTCCGAGTCCTTCTGCTCTCCATTGGCCCCCACGGTGAAGGGCAGCTTCCTCTTGGGCGCACGCTCTCTCACCTCCTTCCCACCATCGCTGCGGTCCAGCTTTGGGGTCTTGGTTAGAGAAACTTTATCTTTGTCCTGGAAAAGAAAGTAACACCTTCAGACACCATCCCCAAATTAAAGTTTCAACGTCCTCACATCTTCAAGGACTTCACTTCCTGTGCCAGAAGAACACACCTCATATTTGGTAATGGAGCCTTCTACCCACCAGCCATGGCACTGCCCCTGGGACGGACTCGGAGGTGAGCAAACACACCTTCAGAGAGGCTTGACCAATGGCACCCACTGTGTGCTATAAAGCCTCCCACTGGACAGGAGCGTGTCTGCCCAAGACAGTGGGCTCCCCTTTCTGTGCATCCTTCTGCAGCCCCCTGCCTGCTCCATGCTCCAGTCAACTCTAGCCTTGCTGTAGGCCTGTGACCCTGCGGGTGGCCCCAGCGTGGACGGCCGACCCCACTGCAGGAGCTGGCCCGGATGGTGGTCGGGTGTGGCCATCACTCCCAGCCCTGCTGGCCTCTCGGCAGGTTAAGGACCCAGAAGCCCTCATTCCAGCCCCATCCTGGGAAGTCCAGTCATGCATCTGCCTTGGTGTCACTGTCTGCAGAACCAGAGGTGATGCCCGCCTTGTGGGAGGGGTGGAGGGCTCAGACTCCACAAGGCCCCACCCAGAAAGAGCAGCACGCAGAGCCCTGGGGGTGGGGTGGGATGGGGCGCACTCGGTGGCACCTCCGACTATGCAGTGCCTGGCTCACCGGCCCACAGGGCGCCACACGGGCCATTAGGCTCACACTGACATGGAAGACAGCACTGCTGCCGTCATGCGGCTCCCTTCCCCAGCGACAAGCTTTCTTTCTGGAAACTTCCCCACACACACCACCCTCACAACACCGAGGCCTCAGGTGATCTTGGGAGGGTACACCGAGGCCTGAACACTGCACAGCCCTGTCTCCTGGGACCCCAACAGCCCTCCGGTCTCCGGAGGTAACAAGACACCCTCGGTGACCAGGGGTCCCGCCAGAGCACACCACAAGCTGCAGGGGCATCTGGAGCGTGCAGAGGGACCAGCAGGCAAGGCCTGACACAGGCCCGCCTGTCCCCACCTGCACCCTACCCCCACCGGAGAACAGACCCACCAGCCAAGCCCCAGAATGTCCTCAGCACCTTCCCACCAAGAAAACTCCTGGCCCAGCTGATGAACCTGGTATTTAGACAGCAAAAAGATAATCCAAATCAAAATGTTTCAGAAATGCATCTGAAAAATCAATGTAATTCACATTAAGGAAATAAAGTACAGAAATCATGACCCTCTCAACTACAGAAATGGCCTGAGGTCCTGACACCAACCCCCAGCACACTGTGAGAAGGGTGTCCCCACTCGACACAGGCTCCACTGCAGAAGACGGGGTGCACCCCCGAGACAGGGTTCAAGGCAAGAATACCTATAATCACCACAACTACTGAAAAACAAAACCACTTTTTAATAAGCAAAAGAATAGGAGTGTGCACTTAAGAAAATATCCACATAGCCAGTTCACATTTGGAGAGGTGTTTGGTGACAGGAAAACACAAAACCAGGAGGTGACACCCGTGCTCCCACCAGAAAGGCTGATGGAACAGGCTAAGCAACTGGCCTTGGGCTGCTGGGGACCCTCAAAGCTTCCAATAGAGTCCACAGAACAAGCCACGTGTCACACGACTCACAGTTTTGTTCATAACAGTGAAGAAACAGCAGTCACCCAGTAAAAGGGTACCTCCACTCCAGCACAGATGTGGGTGGGGGCTCCCACCCGGACAACAGCCTTGGGGGGTGGCTCCTCCAGTCAGAGCAGGGCCCCCCAAACCCTGATCTTCCTGAGGGATGGCAGGATTGGATACCTGAAAGAATCATGAGGAATATACAGTCCAATTCTTCAGATTGGTAAGTGGGTAAGGGAGGCTGCTGCAAAGAAAGTGGGCGGTTCCCACATGCTACAGACAACCAGGAAGTCATGCTGAAGCATGCCGTGTTAATATCAAGAGACATCAAACACACAAGAATAAACCTAACAAAAGATGCTCAAGGCCTCTATGCATATGATAAACCCCTGAGAACAGAAACAGGACTGATAAAATGGAAGCCACTTGTGTTCATCACTGTTAACCCAGCAAATCTCCCAAATGCATCTTCACATTCAGAGCAGTCAAAGCCCAGCACATCAACCAGCTTTTCCAAAATGTACATGGAAACCAAAGATGCAAGAATAACAAGGACAATTCTGGACAACAATGCAAGCGGACAAGTTAAGTTACCAGGTACCAAGATTACACAACAGGTGGCCCTAAGCTAAAGGCCAAAGGTCCAGAGCAAAGAGCAGAAGTGAGCCCCACCCGACCGCCACAACCCAGGAGGAACAGATAGTGACAGTGACCAGGTGAACATCCACAGGAAGAAAGTAAACACTGACCCTCCTTCACAGCTCAGAACAGAACAGCCCAGACAGGTCACAGAGAGCCTGCAGACGACAGGAAAACACCTGTCTGTCTACAGACATCACTGTCAGCATGGACTGGGTCCACCTCGACCAGGTTCTGGGGTCCAGAACTGTGCAGTCACTTTGAAAAGTGAAAATGAAGTTGCTCAGTCGTGTCCAATTCTGCGACCCCTACCAGGCTCTTCCAGCCATGGGATTTCCCAGGCAAGAGTACTGGAGTGAGTTGCCATTTCCTTCTCCAGGGGATCTTCCAACCCAGGTCTCCCGCATTGCAGGCAGATGCTTTACCATCTGAGCCACCAGAGGAGCAGTCACTTTGACCAACAGTAAACCGTATCTGCCACTTCTGCAGAAAACCCAGTGTATGTGTGTTCACATCCCAGACCTGCATCTGCACAAAGGAGGTGGAGCTGAATATCCACACAGTGGACACCACGCAGCCCCAGAAGGAGAGCCGCCTCCTTGACAGCAAGGGCCTATCCACGGGAAAGTAGCAGAAATCCCAACCATGGATCCGCATGGCCTGTGGGTGGGGAGGCATGGTTAGAGCAGAGGCTTGAGGGGGGCAGGTGGGGGGGGAGGAGGGGGGATGGCCCCCAAGGACACTGGCGGTGCTGTGAAACCTGGTCTCGATCATGATGCTCCCAGGTTCTAGAAATGATAGGCGCATTTCTGCTTCAATAAAACTTGGGTATCCAGCTGCTGGCTAACAGCGTGCAGAAACACACTGTACACACTGCTTCGGGCTGTGGGCTTGCCTCCTCACGCCCACTCCCCACAGCTTCCTGCACACCCCTGGGCGCTCCTCCACAGACACCCCCCCACCCCACGCTGGGTGCTCATCGCTCTCAAGGTCGGACCCATCCCTTCTCCCATGGAGTCTGCCGTGGGCACGTGTGGCTGTCACACAGCTATGCCCAAGCACTCAGGGAGCTACGGCCCAGGTCCTGCAGAGCAGGGCAGGGTGCAGGCTGGACTGGGAGCAGAAGGGGCTCACACTCAGCACAGTCTGTTCCTTGAGGCTTTTTCTCCATTCCTTCTGTGCCCTGACAAACAAGCAGGAGTCCCCAGGCGACACCTGCCTCACAGGTCACAGGGACCACAGGAGTCCATCCAGGATGGCAAAACCCTGACCCTTCGCTGCCACAAGAAAGCCTGTCTGGGGACCCCCCTGGTGGTCCAGAGGTTAAGACTCTGCGCTTCCAGTGGAGGGGGAGCAGGCTCAACCCCTGGACAGGGAACTAAGATCCGGCAGACCCCTGCCCCTGCTGCCCTTCTGGGCTTCAGCATCTGCACGTGGATCCTGAGAACCAGCGCTCCTACAGTTTCCCAGCATTCAGAGGAGCAGGGAGTCTGAGGCCTCGTCCAAGACCTGCTCAAAAACCAAGCAGCACCAAGCCACACCCAGCTTCCACATGAGCTCATCTGCACCGCCCCCTCCTCCTGGACAGGAGCCAGGGCACAGGCCACAGACCGCCTTCGCGGGTGGCCCTCCCTCGGGAAGGCTGTGAGTCTGGGATTCTGCAGACCAGCCTGGAGGGAACACTGGGGTCACGGTGCATGGAGCACACGGCACACACA